TTTATATATTTTTTATATATATATATATAATTGTATATTCCTTTTTCTGAATTTATATTCAAATCACAGTAACAGAAAGACCCATCTGGAAAGTTAAGGAACGAACTTGCATACAATGAAGGCTTTGATATGAATGTAATCCTTGACTCTGGCTAAACCTGTACTTGTATGAATAATCGGGCAGGTTTAAAAAGTGGGAAGTACGTGATGATCTTTTTAAGGTGCTCAAGGGGAAACAAAAAACCAACCCACCCCAAAAAACTTTGTTCTCGCATGTTAAATGCGACTCCGTAGGTAGGAAAGAGTTTAACGTCCTCGCACGAGGGCGTCTGAGGCTTCCAGGGGCCGTTGGTTTCGTGATTAAGAGCTTCAAGCACGCAGCACAACGTTTTTAAAATGTTCCTTTTTGCTTTTCTATGGGAACAAAGATGACGTAACTGTTCGATTGTGTGCCGTTCCCCTTGCGCAGTAAATGCAGTTCTCGGCCCGTTAGCTAACTGGGCTGAAGGGTTCAGATCTGTAGGCCACCAGCCTTGTGAAGAGGGTCGGGGAGAGCGAGCTGTGCATCACGCCGCAAGCTTTCCTAAAAACTCTCGATCCCGGGAATGTTTGCAGCCAGGCGCTGAGGCCGGCGGGGCGCTGCTGGATGGCTGCGTGGGAGGAAGAGGAGGGGAACGGCTCTGAACGCAGGCGGCTTCGCGCCGGCTTGGGCTGACTCAGTTAACTGATGGAGAGAGAAGTCCCTGGGAAACCAGCCGCCTGGGTTCTGCTTTTCGTAGGGAGGAAGGGCTCGCGTTGGCTTTGAGAGCAGCGCAGTGCGTCCTGCGTGCTGCAGAACGGGAAAGTTTCTCAGGTTCAGACCTGGAGAACCTGCAGCATGATAGACTTAGGAAGGAAAAGCTATTCCAGCATCTGCCAAGTGTCTCTTTCCCCTACCTGAGGTGAGGCTCTTGCCTTTTTTTTTTTTTTTTCCGCTTTTTTCCTCTCCGTGCACTTTCTTTTTCTTTAAACCAAGATTTGGATTGTTGCCAAGTTGGAGTATTCCGACCTCAAGTGGACAGTCGCATCTTTTGCGTGTCACGCGTACCTGCATCGCCTGTGAGAGGCTTCCTGGTGATTATGAGTCTTGTTCTACCATGAAAGCACCACAGGTGGTGTTGCCAAGAGTTTCCAAGATTCAATTAGCAAAAGGCAAAGGGAATCCCCGTCCCGGTCACCACCACCCGTTTCTGTAATAACTGTTGAGAAACCTGCGCTGAAATAAATTCCTGACTGCACTCTGCCCTCTCTCTCTCTCTCTGCCTTCCAGGTCATTTCTCACTATCAATGCAAAGAACAGCGGGATGTCCACAGATTTGAGAAAATCAGCAACATTATTAAACAATTCAAGCTAAGTTGCAGGTGAGCTGGTTTAATGATGAGGTGGGGAAGATGCCTCAGCAGGTATTGCGGCTTCATCCAGAAGCACGGAGGCTCTCCAAATTCCTACTAGTTCGACGACTCCGCGGCAGCTGCCGTAGTTAAACTGCGCCGTCTTTAAACACAACTGAGTTAATTGTTATCTTTTGTACCTTCCTCCTTTGCGGATGCTTGAAAGAGGTTTGTTTTGAAACGACCGTTTTCTTCTCAGTCTCCTTCTCCCGGGCAAGGTGGGGAAGTTCCAGGACTGAGCCGATAATTTAGTTGAGAGTCAGCAGGGCTGCGGCAGGTCAGGTGGAGAGCTTTTGCTTCAGCCCCTGCGCCACAGCGCTGGTTGGGGAGGACGAGGCGTGCAGACGCTGCTTACCGGTATTTCCATTGGAAAAGTGGAAAGTTTTTTGCTTTGGAGAAGTTTGGCTTTTGAGCAGGCTCCAGGGTCCGCGGTCTGTCGGTAATACCTGCAAGCGGTGGGAGCATGAAGAGGTTGGAGGAGCGGCTGCATGGTCTACAGAGCCGTCTCCAGATGTTTTGGTTCTGTACTTATTTCTACTGCTTATCCGCAGAGTGTTCAGCTGTCCCTCTGATGGCCGAGCTGGCACGTCCGTGGGCCAAGGGACGTTGACTCCTTGGGCGCAGACGCGGACAGCCAGTGGGGTTGTAGAACTGGAGTTACCGTCTCCATTCAACGCGCAGATCCGTTTATATTGTTTTCCTTTAGCCTAAACCTGAAGAGTTTTTTTTTTCTTTTTTGAAACGAACCAAAACCAAACAACAAAACTCATGGCCGCACCTGGTGCTTCTTGCCAAGTGGGGGCTCAAACACTTCTTTGTTACCAACAACTCAAATAACGGGATGTTGTCTCTGTGGGCTCAAAAGCTGTCTGAGCAATGTTACAGTAATAGTTCATTTACTCTTTCTTTTTTTATTCTTTTTTCTTTTTTTTTTTTCTCCCCTCTTAGTAAGCTGGCAGCTTCTTTCCAGAGCATGGAGGTCAGGAACTCTAACTTTGCTGCTTTCATTGACATCTTTACATCAAATACATACGTGATGGTGGTTATGTCAGACCCTTCAATACGTAAGTTGAAGCAAAGATGAACCTCTGGCTTGTTTTCCTTTGCGGGGACGAGAAGCCGGCGAAGTCCAGTTTAAACTGCGTTTCTCTTAGAAAATGACAGAGACCGGGCAAAGCAGTCAAAATGATTGTAATTAAAAGATGGAGAGGGATCTACTGTCCCGCTGGTTTGCCCAGTCTGAGCCAGAGGGTGGAGGAAAGTGGTTAAGAAGTGACTTTGCGGAAGGCGAGAGACGTCTGCCTTTGCCAGCCGAGCATTTTGTTGCCGGCGGGTGGAGAATCGTAGCGGCGGTGGGGAACCACTCTTAACAGATGTGACCTGATTTAGTAGGTCGTGCCTAATAACCTATTTTGGGCCGTTCTGATCTGGCCAGCCCCAGTGATATTAATTTTTTTTTTTTTTTTTCTCATGAGGAAGCAGAGACGGATCGTAGTCGAGTCTTCCCTCTTGCTGCCTGGGCTGCCGTGGTGGGCGAGGACTCTAATTATAGCAGCATCTATTTATCTTAAAGAAGCAACTGCAGCCAGCGGCGCCAGCCCTTGCAGGCACGGGGCGACTGGTTAACTGTTTACACAACTCCAGTTGAAACCGCTCCTGTTAGGATTTGAGGATCCAGGACAGCTTACAGCGTTGACGCCTCCTGTCCTCCTCTTTTCGAATGGTTTACTGAATTAGGGCAGACCCGTGGGAACCCCGCCATTGAATTCCCCAGTGGGAACCCCGCGACTGAATTACCAGCCGCGATATCATTGCGCCGGAGGAGCGGCGAGCGAGCGGCGGGGGGGACTCGTGGGGCCATCCCCCTGAGCAAACCGCTCCACCGTAGTTCGCTCTCACCTTCTCAGACCTTCTCACGCTCTCAGACCTTCTAGCGTGAAATTTTGCCCAGCTGGGGAGCGGAGGGGGGGGAGGGACAACAGATGCTAAAACAAGAGAGTTTGCTGAGGGGTGACATGGCTTTTAGGCAGCACTTAACTCCCGAGGACTTGGTTACTCACACCCCTTTTAACTTTTTTCTGTTTCTTTATATCTCCCCGGTCCCTTTTCCGTCCCAGCTTCTGCGGCTACGCTGATCAACATCCGCAACGCCAGAAAACACTTTGAGAAGCTGGAGAGAGTGGACGGACCAAAGCACAGCCTGCTCATGCGCTGAACGTCGGCCGAGGCGCACGCGGTCTTTGGGGGGAGAAAAAATGAATTGGAACTACTTATTTTTAGGAGAATCTAACAATGTCGGTGTCTTTGTTGGGCTTTGAAATGAGTGTGCTGCTTTATTTTTTCTCCTTTTTAACGTTGGACACTAGTCACTCGGAGAATGTCTGGATACACTGCGGACCTTCACAAAGAGACTTCCCTGGCGCATGGGGTTGGGAAGAAGTAAGGACGGGTGACGTGCACATGGTCTCGTACTCCTGGTTGTCGTAGTGGCACGCGGCACAGCCGTTTTGGATGTTTTGCTCCCGGGTGATCGTTTAAGTCACAGGAATTGGAATATTTACCGTTTTACTGGTTGGTTGCTAGACTATGTTTATAAATTTCTCCTTGTCTTCAGTCATGAAAATAAATTTTTTGCTACCAGGGATTTCGGATCCGAGAACTTTGGAGAGCGGGTTTTCTTTCTTCTAAAGCCGGGGGCAGCTTTGGCAAGCGGATGTGTAATAGCTGCGTTTCTCCTTTCACCTTATTGAGGGGGGGGTTGTTGACCGAAGGCCCGTCCAGAGTTTCGTTTAAGATAATTATTATTTTTCTTTCCCCACACGGAGGCAAAATTCACTCGGCAGGTGAAGCAGTCACCTGGCGTTGGCCTCTTTACGCTTGCCGAAGCGATGGAAAGATCTCAGTAAATAAAAAAGGGGCCAAAGATCCTCATTGACCGAGCGGTGAGATAGTCCTGGGGCTCCTGGTCTTCGTCCTGGTGAGCCGGAAGGGACCGGCGCGGGCACGAAGGAGCGCAGGAATGTGGTGGTGGTGGGTGGTGTGCGCATGAGCTATATTAGCTATGTTTACAACGAGCCAGTTGGACGGCGTTTGACACCGATGTTATTTGACGTTACTGTCTTTTTTTTTTTTTTTTAATGACTTTTTTTGTGTGTGTGCGCGTTTCCATTAAACGTAGGACCAACAAAAGCACTGTGAATTAGGGGAGTCTGTGGTGTGCTGGGTGGGAGCTGATGCTCGTTGGCATCTCTTCTGCTTTTTTTTTCCTCTCTTGCTGCATCAAATTACTATGTAAAAAAAAAAAAAAAAAGGGGGGGGTGACTCTGAACCCGCCTCTCCGCTTTGGATCCTCGAAATCGTGCTTTCCCCCCGCGCCCCCGCGTGCTGGGAGGGGACGAAAAACCTGACAGGGTGAATCCGTTATGTGAGAACGGGGAGCTGAAGGGCACGTCTCGGGCGGAGAGCTGAGGATGGGCTCCGCGCAAAGTCTCCCATCCCTTCTCCATCTTCACGGCGTTAAACACCCGCGTCTTGCACCGCCTACTCAGCAGATGCGTCGGTGCCGGGTTGGGGCCGGGTGTGTTTTTCCATGAGAATCCTCAAATCCGCATCCCTGCGGGAGAGGAACTTAGAGAGATTCCTATTAACGATTCAGGTGCCGGAGTTTCTGGAGAAGTTGCGGATGGGCTGGAGATGCCGCGGAAGGTTTCCGCTTGTCTTCGGTGTTTGTAGGTGTGGAATACGGTGCCGGTCCTGGAGCGGGAAGAGCAAATCTCACCCACGTTGACGTTGGGCTGGAACAAGCCAAAAGGTGACTACGGTTTCCTCTTGCGAGTGCTGCCCCACCGCTTGGACAAGCTCAGTCCCTGCTCCCACTCCGGGCGGTGGAGGAACTTCATGGCTTTCCGCACCCAAACCCAGCAAGAGGATGAGTTGCTGCTGCCACGTGTGCTGTGGGACCCGCAGGAGCATCACCTCCGAGGGATTACCGGGAAGGGCTCCGCTTGCAGGAGAACGGGCGGCTGTCGCGGCTTGAGGAGAGCAGAAGATGGCTCACGGCCGCGATTCCGGCGCAGATTGAAGCACCTTCTGCTGCGAGTACATCCCTGTGGCAGGCAGCCGTTCCTGCCGGGGAGGGAGGGAAGGACAGCGGGAAGCGCTGCCTTATTTCCATGGTTTACAGGAGTTGGCCTCGGGGTTC